TTGGAGAAATAGTTTTTATTTGGCCTAACCTTTTTCCTTCAATTATTTCTTGTCGAAAGGTTCCTTTCTCTTTGACAATAGGAATAGCATCGCTTAGGGGAACACTGCGTCTACAAATAAAGCCTCCTCCCTCTGATCAATTGTGGTATAGTTTCACGTCTATGCCAGACATAGACTTTAACTTGGAGTCATCTATTGGAGAACGCAAGATAACTACGGGACACTTGGCTCTGTTCCTGAGCAATCGAATTAAGGTATGATAGATCTTCCCATTTAATTTATAATAACTTGTGACAGGGTTCTAACTTAAATATCTCTCGCAATTTTCATTTAGTTTTTATTCAGGGTGTACATGTCTTGCTCATTGCAATGTCCTTTGCATTTGACCTATTTGCAAAAAAAATCACATATAGCAAAAGTATCTCTATGAGGATGTGCAAGAAGGAATTTTTCTCCGGAAATGCAAAAGGAGAACTTTAACTTTCAATTCCAGTTCCACTTGCAGACTCAAGCCTTATCCGCTATTGCAGGCACTAATTCGGGAAACTTTAGTACTTCCAAATAGTGAAAGCGTATGCGTTTCGTGGATGCTTGCTGAAAAAGATGATTGGGTGCCCCAGGAGGCTGCTCCATTCAAATGGGTTAACCAAGAATCCAGAAAGGAGACTTCCACTTCAAGCGATGCCCCATCTGAGCCTCTGGATAATGCAATTGATAATTCAGAGCAGAAACAGAAAAAACCAGATAGCGTTGAATCAAGTCAAGAGCCAAGCAGGAAATCAGCAGATTCTTTAGCGATTGCATCCAGTCCTACTAGTATACCAAGAAGCAGAAGTCTAGATGGTTTGACAACACCTTTGCTGGGGGATTACAAGCCCCATGAAACTAATGAACAGAACTTGGAAGATCGCCAGCTAGCAAGGATTGCAGAACAAGCATCCCATCCCATGGAGCGGGATGACTCAAGGCGGAGGAAAATGGGGACACGAGAAAGAATGCTTGATCTTAGGAAGAAGATGACTGAGAAATTTGAAGAAAAGAAGCGTCACATTGAGGAAAAGGGACGGAACTTTGTCGACAAGATGCGGGAACGTGAGAGATATTGACCACATGAACAAAATGCATATATTTGTTAATGGTTAAGTTAGATCATGAAGGATTTGATTGCCAAGCTGTACATTCTCTTGGTGCTTAGAAAACATCAAATAAATTTCGCATTATATTTGTTCATTTGTTGACTGTACAATATTCTTGACCCAAGAAATGCCATTAGAAATCATATTCAATTCCATTTGTGCTTAGAAATGCTCTGGGAGATGTTCATATGTTCGCTTTGGCATTCACTTTCATTTTCGTATTTCAGTTATAAAAACTATATCATAAATTATAGCTTTTGTGGATTTAGGTTCTGAGATTTGCTTTGAATATGATTTTTCAAAAAGTGCGAAGTCTGATTACTGCGTGGAGTCTCATTCTATTAATTACGGTCAATATCCAAATTCTGGGTTCAAAGTTTCTCTTTCTTGTGGACTTGTAACGGTCGGTTTGGAACCTCTTTTCTTCTGATCTTTTTTCATCATCTTTTTTTTAACCGTTAGATTAATATTTTAACAATTCAGATTTAAGTTTGTTAAAAATATTATTAAAATATTAAATTATAAAAATAAATAAATAATAAATTACAAACTATATTAAAATTTAATTTTAATGAGTTGCAAATGCACTAAATGTTTTTTAAAAATTTTTTATAAATAGTTTATAAAAAATTAAAATCTAAACCCTTAAAATATGTTAGTCTAATAGTTTTAAAAAAAAAAAGGATGGAAAGGAAATATGAGAGATTCCCAACCGTGCAGCGGTTGCCCAATCAAGTGCTGCAGGTCTCTTTGGCTTTTTATTATTTTAATATTTTCCCACCCTAATACCCCGCCAGGCCGATTCTATCCCGGCTCCCCAACGGCCGCAGGTCCCTCTTCCCTCTAAAATTTTTCTATCCTTCCCCCCATTTCTCTTCTTTCTCCGTGCAGTGGCCGCCGTTCCCTCCAGTCCGTAGCAGTGAAAGCTCGTGCGCCCTCGAACTGTAGCTTGTTGGCGCCCGTTTCATGTAAGCTCCAGTCTCAACATAAGCAGGATGGAAAGTAAAACTTAAACAAATTTTATAATTATTGCTATGTGATAATTGTGTTAAGTTAGTGTATCTTCAAAACAAATCCAGATTTGAAGTTTGCGCTCTTGAAATTTGTAAAATTGCACACAAACTCGTAAAATACTCCTTTTGTCTTTAATATAAGAATTTATTTACTTTTATTTTAGTCTTAAATATAAGATCTCAATCTATTTTGTCTTTCATATTTATTCATTTTTTCCCAATATAGTATATGTAATAATAGTAGTTTTAGCCGATACACTTGATTAATAAGAATATTTTAAGAAAGATAATATTTTTTTATTACAAATAACTAATTTAACTAGTTTTCTTAATCAACTCAACTTAGTTAACTAGCTCTGATATTAAAGACATGAAGTAGTATTAAATTTCTAAAACTGGGTAGTGTCCGAAGAATTCTTGTCAAGAGAGAATGAGGATAGCATGTTTGCACGTTAACCACTGATATGAATATTTTAACTATTAATATTAGTTTTTAATGAGTGGGGCAACATTTTTACGTTTTCAGATTTCAGAGTGACATTCAACCCGAAAATTTTTTTGCGGTAATGTGGACATTGAACTTAAAATTTTTTTTTGGGACAATAATGATCCAAAACAAAAATTTTTAGACAAATTTGTACCTTAACGCATTTAATTTTGGAATAGTTAATTGATATAATTAGTTTTTTTCATATGACTTTAAACAAATTAAAAAAAAAATATAATCACGCCAGTGAAAAAATTCGAAGGTTAATGAAATTAGTTCTCTATCCTCCTCCTTTAGTATAAACACTTTTTCTAATTGAATAATTAAAGACGAAGAAAAAGAAAAAACTAGGCATATATATTGTTGTTTTTCTCAATCGAAGCATATGAACAAGTCCAACTGAGATAATAATGACAAGCTAGCCGACTTTGTACATACAAAAAAGCAATTAAGTGTGAGCAACTCGTTTGACAATAGAAAAATATAGCAAGTTATATATAAAAATATTTGCTTAGTTACAATTATTTTATTCTTTTCAAATTAATGTCTATAAATTTAATAGATTTCTAATTATCTTATTTATTCGTTCAAATAAGAAGAAAAGGATTAATTAAAAAAGAATTAATAAAGCTCTCAAGAAAGAAGGCAGGATGACACAAGACTTTTCTTGAAACTATCTGAATTTCATCGATATTGTGATATTGGCTTACTCTCACCGTAGTTACTTATTTTTTATTTAAATGTTTTTATTTTCTTTTTTTAAATCTATAGTATGTTGATAAGCATGATTCCCTTTGTTATGGGAGATAAGTTGGATAAATTGTTTGATTAATAGGTTGACGATATGGATCGGAAATGAATGTCATCTAATCGGTGTTCAAAGGAATATATCGATGGGGTGAAATAGTTTATTAGTTTTGCAATTGAGCATGCAAAAAATCCTAGCAAAATTCTGTGTCCTCGCTTGTTATGGAAAGCGAATCAGTCCAAATTGAGTTGTTAGATTATCTAGTGTGTCATGAAATTGATCAATATTATATCAGATAGACAAGGCATGACGAGACGAATGAAGCATGTAGTGAGTGGGTGCATACCATGAGTTGCGCTTGGAATGGAGCATGTAGTGAGCAGGTGCATACCATCGCACAAGGATCACCAAAATAGGCCCAGCAAGTTGGTCGTGATGATTTATTTAGTAAAGCATTAAATTTATCTCAGGTTTCTGATCATGTTCAAGTTGTTGATTTTGAGGTGACACAAACATATTACTTTGGACACCAATACAGCTCCAACAAAGGTGAAATTTCACAGCTGAAAAAGGATATGAATTCCTTGAAGCAGCAAGTGTGGGCAGACCAAAAACAAGTGCAAGAACAATGGGCTGAACAGACTCGACTATTGCGAGAACAAAACAATAAATTGTTTGAACAAGTGCAAAACCTAATACAGAGTCGGGTAGTGGGAGTTTCAAGATTTGATCGCCCAAGCATGAGGAAAGCTGTAATTCTATGCCTAAACTCACTCTCCCTTTGGTAATATCTTTTCTAATAAACTTCTAATTGCGTTGTAATTTATTATACCCTAATCTATTTACTCCACTATGTAGTAGGGTGAATCAATTTGCAAATTATATTTAGATCAATCTTTTAAGTACGCAGTTGCGGTGGGTGTTGTCTACAATAACGCTAATGAAATTTTACACAATTTTCAATTGCCTGCTAACACGCTACACGTAAGAATTGACATTTGCACTAATAATGATGCTCGATTGCCAATCCCTACACCTAATATGATGAAACAATGATTAAAGATGTTGAAGGTCATTTTGTTGCATGGCCTATTGATCTTATTAGGCCATGTAAAAAGGTAGTTAATTTGCACTTTTTTTTAATACTTTTCTACGTATATTTAACATCTGACTTAGTTTCATGATTTTTGTAGGCTGTGCAGTCAAAAAGCAATCAAATGAAAGTGGTTGGGAACAATTATAATGGGTTGACAACTACATCCAAAAAGAAAAAAGCTCAGCCACACGAATAAATGAAAACATCATGGTTAAAGATTTTGAAGGTGCATGTGTTTTTGTTGCATTCATGCTCTGATGATATTTTTGCAGTGCCTTGACTTGAAAATAGAGAAACATTTGAAATCTTATCGGATATTCTTGACTTGAAAAACAAACATTCTAAGACATTTCAATATTCATAAAATACAAATATGGCAGAAACATATGTCTCATTCAATTATTTCAATATATGTATATTTCTTATCGTAAAATAAATTCCAAGTCCATTTTCTCCTTGAACCCTTGAATAACGGCCAAACTTGAGCATCGCCTTCTTCTTTTTTTGCCTTAGAAATAGATTAGTAAGGGGTGAGAACATACATCTTGCAAGCATGTGAATCTAATTCAGCAGAGATTTGTCCTGAAACTGATGTTTGTGTAGAGTGCTGCAACAATTCATAGTGAAATAAGTAAATCAACAATATGCATATATAATAATCATTAGAAATCAATATCAATACAAAATACTCCTCCGGTTCTTAATATAAGACCCATTTAACTAATTTGATTAAATTAAGGAAGTTAGGTAAGTTAGTTAATTATGAGAAATGTGACATATTTTTCATAAAACACCATAATCATCTTTCTTAATACCCATCTCCCTTTTTTTTGATTATGGTTGAGAGAGTATCTATAGGGATAATTTAGAGAAAATTGATAAATACAAAAAATGGGTCTTATATTTAAGATTAAAATCAACTTAACCATTGAGTCCTATATTAAGACCGGAGGAGTAATAAAAAGGCATAGAAGCTATATTCTTCATAAGTACCAAATATTACAATTTATCATAAGCTCCATACAAATGCATGACACCCACTCTAGTAATTAATTAATAATAAAAATTATTCACAAGCTATGCTTTTATATGCAACAATTCATAGTAAATAATTTTGAATTGATCTCTAACTCTACCTGCCATAAATCTCGAGCATCTACTACTTTTCCAGTGTCTAAGTCTATGTCCGACCAATCTGCAGTCACATTTGCTTTTGATGAACTTCTGTTCCATAAAACCACTGCTACTTTGTTATTACTGAGAGGACCAGCCCAAACCTGTCACATTTTTCCTCATTTAGTTGAAAGTCATCTTTGAGGGAATCCATAATTGTACACAAACATGCAGGTATATTGTAAGACAACTTAAGACAGAAAAAGACATTATTACCTCCAAGCCAGCTTCACTTTTCATCTTCCTTCCTTGAACTCCTAGGTTGTCTGCAATATATACATCACAAGAAGATTTTAGAGCCTTATTATTTATTCTTTTCTCTTGGGTTTATGAAGAAAGTTAGGTGGACAAAGTAGCTTCATGCCTTGGTTCACATCGATGACTTCCTTGTTGGATAGTAGTTCGAATGTTGCGGAATCCATAGATCGAACATCACAACCAATCAACAAAGGAGCCTACATATTTAGGCAAAAAGGCATGCTTTAACAAAGATATGTTTATTCTAGAAACACAGAAATCTTCTCAATGTAAGACTATTTTGCTTATTAATTACTTTAGCTAATGCCCAGATGCTGTAATGGCAACGGTATTCTTCGGTTGTCATTCCACCATTCCCAACTTCTAGCATATCCGGATCTGTTTCCACATTTGAGGATATAAATCATGTCACCTCTTAATTATATATTTCCTCTTAGTAATAAGTGAGGTTAGTTACCATTCCAACTTCTGGGTCCAGCATAAGATGCCCATTTGTCATTTGCATCTGCTATATTTGTCATGCTGGGAAGAAATTAAGTTATATTTTTAGTTATCTAAGAAAAAAAATTTAATTTATTGATGCTAATATAAAAATGCTAATATTGTGCCTTTCCCATTTATCTTCAATATCTCCTGTTGTTCTCCAACTATTCCCTACATTTTTGGCCCAAAGTGCTGGCCCTTCTGATCCCCTGCAAGTTCACAAACTAATTTATCATTAACAAATAATGCACATTCTAAAACTTGCTAAATAACCTTAATTCTAGAGATATGATTTTTCCTGGATGTCATTTCAGAAGAGTGACACTGTGTGTGTGTGTGTGTGAACATATGAAAAACCAGTACTAGCCAGTTTGTCTGTGGGAAACAATCACTGATAAGACTCACCATTCACACATGGAAAAGTAGATTTGCCTCTTCCCAGAGTTTAATAAAGCTTCAGACATTTGAGGGTACCTGTTTTGTTCATACGTACGATGATTTTTTTGAGTCTTATAAGATTCATAAATAGTGCGCAGAGAAACACGCATATGGATTTAAAGCCCAAAAATATACCTCTCCTTTGCTGTTATATTACTATTCTCGCAATTATCGTACTTCAAGAAATCCACACCCTAAACAATATTCAAACAGAATCTACTTAAAATTCTTCATATAATTTAAACAAGATGACTGAGTTCTTTTCTTTCCTGAACAGAAGAATTTGAAATGGTGAGTTGTGTGTCTGTGTGTATGAGTTCGAAATGAGTTTGAAGCAAAATGTGCGCGCGCGCGGGCGTATCTTTTATTTATATAGGTGAGTTGTAAATATATACCCAGGAAGCAAATGTTTTTGCATCCTGATCTTCATGTCCAAGTGATCCGGGCATTTGCTTACTACACGTTTGAATCCTGCAGATTAGAAGTTAATTATTTTAAGATATATTTAGTAATATTGATGATGAACTTGTTTGCAATAATGGATCAAAGTTTGATGGTACGGTTATAATTAAATGCGGTTACCCAGCATCAGAATAAATTCCAAACTTCAATCCTTTGCTGTGAACATAATCAGCCAAAGCCTTAATTCCTGATGGAAATTTTGAAGCTTTAGGAGCCATATTTCCCTGCCACAGATTCGATTTTTATATTATATGGATTTTGACTGAATGAATGAACAAACAAATAGGTATAATAACTACATTTAAGCTAAAAAACAAAAAATAAAAGCCAATGATTATATACCTCGACGTCGCGATCAAGTTCAGCCCAACAATCA